TTAATGTTTGTTGGTGACCGAAAGGGGAAAGTTCCCAATAGAAGAAAAGTTTCCGAAGATAGTAGCCTCGAAAAAAATACAAACTGAATTGCTTTTAAATATTTGTGTGCATGAAACAAAAGTACCTACAAAATAAGGTAAGAGAATTAATATTATCTTGAAACTTGATCTTTGAAAATATGGAGAGGATTTTAAAAGTAAATAAATTGTAATATTCGGGGTAAAGTTTCTCGGTATAGAGCAAAAGTAGATATTGATTTAGGTGCAAAAAAATAACTTTTAGTATATTGAAAATATGATTACGTATTCATAATTAACAAAAATGTCTGAAAACACTCATAATTTACTTGGAAATCTAAGCAAATGAGTTCGACGGTTACAAGAACATTAAATAAAACTATTGAAACTTATTAGAAAGTGAAGAAATTCATTTAATAGAAATTGAAGAGCTATGTTAGTAATAATTAAACAGAGAATTAGAAACATTAGATCTAGAATCAAAATTAGAAAGTTTAACATAGGATCTTGGTGAACTGGAATCCAAAATTGAAGCTCGTCATGATTATAGAGAGGTAGAATCTCGTTTTTGAAAACTAAAATTAAATATAAAAATTAGAGAACTTAAGTCAGTTCAGGAGGGGTCCCCTAAAATTCTTTGAGGAACAAAATTATGCTCCTAATAAAAAGAAAATTTCCGATTCGAATACTCCAAATAATGTAAATACCCGCATCAAACAATTACCAAAAATTGGGTGTCAAAATATCAAAAATAACTATACAAACACACACATATATATATATAGTGGAAAACCTGACAAGGATTTGGGTCTCAATGTAATTGAATGATTCATGATAATGAATGCTCGTTCGTGGTCGATATTATAAATTTACTTATTTGACAAGTTATTTAAGTGGTTTGACTCTTAATCAACCACTTAAATAACCTTTCAAATAAGTAAATACGTGGTCTTTCAGTCACTTACAAAATTTATGAAAAGTTTATAAATATTTTGAAAGGAAAATTTGGTAAGACACAATTGTTTAAATTACGCATCTTGATACATTATTAAACCATCAACATGTTAGCTGAACTTCTAATTTAAAAGAATTGCGAATGTTATTCGACACATTAGAAGTTAATACTCCATCCTTCGAAATCATGGAAATAAATTTAAATACAAAAAGTTTTAAAGACCGGAAAAATTAAAAACGAATCATTAATATAAGAATAAAAATATTTTTAAAAATTGGAGGGAAAAAATAATTCTACAGAAGCATTCATTATTTTTTGCTCTTTCGGACACACTTTATTGCATTCAAATAGATCAAATAGTAAAGATGTGAGAATTGAAGTTGAAATTCCCCACAGGATTTACATAACATCCACGAAATCAAGATGGCGGGTAGATGGGAGCCTTAAATACTATTATCATAAAAATACAGTAGAACGAGGGTGGTTCAAAAAGTATTTGTATTGGAAGACAGATGGCATGATTAAGGTAAATTGTAATCACTATTAGGTGCTGCCATGGGTTAAACGGGACCGAAACAAATTTGACATTGACTCATAAGTTAGTTTTGATTTGGTAGTCATTTGCTGTCAAATCAAAATTTTAATTGCTGCCCCGTCAAATTGTCGACGCCATTTTGCGTCGAGTTGTCACCGTCGATGAGACCTGTATTTAAAATTATACACCGGAAACCAAGCAACAATAAAAAAAAAAAGGTTGCTTCCGGTTCATCTGCTCAAAAGAAGACGAGGATGAGGACACTTTTATTTCAGGGATTATTCTGTTGGTTCCAGTCTCTTTGATATATATATATATATATATATATATATATATATATATATATAACCTCTTATTAAGGGTCACCTCTATTGAAGGGATAAAGTGACTGGTTCGGTGTTGGTGCCTCTTACTAGGAGGTATTACTGTATTCTACATTGTTTGTAATTCATATAAGCACACCTCTATGAAATATCAAAAAATTTTCTCAGGATTTTTTTTAGTTTCGTTTGTATTAACGTCGCACAAGAAGCTACACGAGGGCTATTGGCGACGGACCTCGTAATTTTGAACTTCGGTCAAGTGACGAGGACGATACCTGAGCTGGCACCCCCTCTCCTAACTTCCACTGCAAGTCTTAAGCGGTCAAAGTTCGAACCCGCGACTGAACGAAAACCGCCGGTCACGAATCCGACCACTAGGCAACCGCGGCCATTTTTTCTAATGAGCAGATAAGACAAAAATTAGATCGAGAACATAAATGGCTTCGAAATTCATGTATGTCTGAAATTAAATGCGTGCTAGAAGAGCAAGAGTTATATCACGCAAAATTAGAGGGTTATTCAAAATGATAATTCGATGTCAAAATTCCATATTCAAAATGGTTACCCGATGTCAAAATTCCATATTTTCATGAACGACACAGAATATTAAGTAATACATGAATGTAAAGGGAAAATGTTAGTTTTTTTTTTTTTTTTTTTTGCTAGTGTTCGGTATAACTTCCTTAGTTGCACGTAATGTCAATTCGATACATAAATTCCTGTCAAACATGTTTGTAAGTGTCAGCGGTAATTGATTGTGCAGCAGTAGAGATCCGTTGTTCAAGTTCACATGAAGTTGTGGGCAATGGTGAAGCATACACTAATTATTTACAAACTCCTAAAGGAAAAATCATATGGAGCTTTATCAGGTGACTAATATGGCCAGCTGTGTAATTTCAAGTCATCTGGTCCACTGCGACCGATCCAACTGCGAGGTAACTCAGTGAAAAAATCTCAAATAGCTTTAGTGAAATAGCTTCACAAAGAACACACAAGGACCAAACTTAACAGTTTTCATTTTTATTTATGTATTATTTTTCATTTTGTGTCGTTTTTTTTTTAACTATGGAATTTTGAAATCGGAATAATCACTTTGAATAACCCTGTACATTGTTTCCCCTCAGAAACGAAACCCGAAACTTCTAAGGAAATAACACCCCGTCACGATTTCTCATGAGAAGCGTGATTTAAGAATTCGTATGTCATTTTGCAAACGTCATCGCAGAATTCGAAAATTATTCAAAAGAAGCATCTGTTTAATCCGATTGGGGAAATGAAAAGTTTCATCAAAAACTGTTTGACTAAATCATTCTTGGCAATGTGTTTTTACTCTCAAGATTCAATAGCTAGAGAACATAATTTTCCTTTTCATAAGAAAATTCATCTGTCATCGCGTTAAGAATGCGCTGTGGGAAGCAAAAAATGTGGCTGGTGTATGTACTGGGGCTCAGAAATAAAAAAAAAAAAAAAAAAAAAACAATAAACTATGGGATGAAGTTTGGGGAACCGAAGTCATAAATGAACCTCTCTTCAAGGTTATGATAATAAAATCTTTTATAAGCCGTAAGCTGGGAAATAAATAAGTCAGCATTTTCAATTGGTTATGTACAGCTACACCCTAGTTGCTGATTGTTTCTGTTTTGTACAATCTAGGAGCAAATGGAAAGATTGATGAATGTTATATGCTATTACCACAATCTTTGGAATTCGGTTTATGGGAAATGTTTACTTAAACAATACTCATATGCGTTCCATGTCTCTCTGTTGACAAAAAAAGAACACTTCGATTCACAGTTATTTTGTGCAGTTTTAGAAAGGTTAAATGTAAGTGAAAATAAAGACAAATGTTTGTCAGAGAATGAGGTAGAAATGATTAACACGTTTTAATGATAATTTAAGGATTTATCACGACAAGGTTCTGAAAATTTAAGCCTAACTTGTTATGGATTGAAATTAATTAATACTCGATAAGTAATTTTAAAGTCGTTTTCGGAATTGAGAAAACAGACAAAAGAAATATAACGAGTTATTTCAAAAATACAGGGTTATTCAAAATGTTTCATCTGATTTCAAAATTCCATATTTTCAAACAAAAGCTACCCAAAAGCTAAAACAAAGGAAAACTGCAAGTTTTATATTGTGAAAAATATTTTTCCCTTGTGTGTTCTTCGTGAAGCTATTTCACTAAAGTTATTTCAGAAGTTTCAACAGAGTTACCTCGCAATTGGATCGGTCGCACTGGACCAAATGACTTGAAATTACACAGCTGGCCACCTTAGTCACCTGATATAGCTCCATATGATTTTTTCCTTTGGGAGTTTCTTAAAGATAAGTGTACACGTCACCGTTACCCACAGCTAAAACAATGGATCTGTGCTGCTGTACAATCAATTACCGATGACTATTTACAAAGTGTTTGGCAAGAGTTATAAATCGAATTGACATTACGTGTTTATAGGAAGTTATACCGAACATACTTGTAAAAAACACTTTAAAATTTTCCCTTTGCATTCATGCATTACTTATCATTCTGCGTCGTTTATTTTTGAAAATATGGAAATTTTGAAATCGGATGAATCATTTTCCCTGAATCATTATGTGGATGAATCATTATGTGGAATGGAATATTTCATGACAAATTAAGTTTGGTATCGTTGAAGAGTGTTCATAAGATGAAGCTGAATTGGATGCGTACTACATGCCTCACGCTCCTTTAGTTCAAGAACAGCGAAGTGTACCGCTAACATTATCTTAATAATTGACACTTCTTCAAAAGAGAAAGATTTAAAAAAATTTAATGATTGTTTAATTTTTTGGTGAAATCGGAGTCTTAACTTTTTTAGACATAATTTTAAATTTCCGTGTACACAATTTGGTGCCTATATTGAAACAAAAACCTGTCATCAGTTTCGAATAGCTGAAGAAGATCGAAACTTTGTAAAGTTCTTGTGGTTTAAGGATGGCTCTTTTGAGATTAGTTAAAATATTAATTACTCCGAATGATTCATGCCGATTTTGGAGTTTATAGTTATGTGTTTGCAACCGCTATAAGGTACGAATATCATTTGAAATAATATGATGGGAAATACAACTGAACTGTTAATTTGCTAGAAAAATCTTTGTACTTGGTCTATTTATTTCACGGATATGATTTGAATGAGTAATTGTGTCCGTGGAGCCTAGTGGTCATGGTTGCGAACTTGCAGGCGGTATTTCGTCCAGTCGTGGGTTCGAGCCCCTATGCCACGAAAGACTCGCCGTGTAGCAGGGGCACGTTCAATCGGTCGAGGCTCCAAGTCCTCCCTTTGGTGTGGTGCGTAAGTTTGGGGAGGAAGGTGTCAGTTCAGGTGTCGTCCTCGTCACTTGACCGAGGTTCAAATTTTCGAGGTCCGTCGCAATAGCCCTCGTGTTGTTGTCGTTAGTAAACAATCACAATGAATAATTGGTTTCGTTATCGTCTAGTATATTAAAAGATGCCGGAATGATTTACGAAGTTTTTCAAAACTAATTTTGTCGATTTAAAAGAATTGTGGAAAGAGGAGGAGAGTATATCCGAAGAAGATAATAAAGAAAGATAACCAATTAAAAAGGTATTAAGTAATATATGGGATATTGAAAATGATTTTTTGAAATTAGATTTGCTGCATTTAATGGGTATATTGGACAAAAGACAAATTACAAAAATAATCACTGTTGCTAAAATATATTATTCAATTGGATTTATTTGCCCTTTCATTATAAGAATTCAAATTTTGTTACAAGATTTATGGGTATTAGAATGGATGCAGAATTGCCTGTTGAAATAAAAGAGAAGTTTTGTTAGGGGGTAATTAAATTAATGAATTTTTTAAGTTTAATTATTCCCAAAAGATATTTCTAAAGTTATGTGGTTATGGATAAAGAAAAAACTCCAATTTATGAGGTCTATGATGTCAGAATTACAGGTTATGGTACTGTCACTTATTTGCATGATTCTTACTCATGATCTACTTCTTTTGTGTTGTCTTAAACTACAGCGTCACCCTTGAAAGGAAGACTATTCCTCATTTCTTCTAGGTCAGGGGTCGCCAAACTTTTTTGATCATCGCCCCCTATATAATTTTTCGAAATCTCCATAGACCCCCACAAAGGTAATTTTCACGTAATTAAAATAAAACTATATATTAGTCTAAATATTTAATAAATCAGAAACAGTAAGTAAAGTAGCTACAGAAATCAGATTGTTTTCTGGTTTATTATTTTATTTTCTATAAATTAAGTCAATTATAAAAATATTTTAAATTTTTACGTACGCAGTTAGATATGTGTGATTTGCGTATTAAGAACTGTTTTTCCTTCGAGTCCCAATAGACCCCCATTCGACCCCTTGGGTCAGATAGACCCCCTACTGTTGTTAAATAGACCCCTAGGGGTCTATATAGACCACTTTGGCGACCCCTGTTCTAGGTATTTACAATTGTTTCCACAAGGATTGCCAGATATTGTCGGAATTTGTTTACAGTGCGTGGTAGACGTAGTTTAGTAGCACAATCTCAATGAAATTATGTAAAATAAACTATAAATCCGGCAGATACCTTGTCACACGAATCGAGAGTCATAGATCTTATAAATAACGAAGACTGATGGCAGGATTCAAGTATCATAAAGGTCGATGGTTTTTTTTAGAAATACATGAGACTATATTAGTCTTCAGGATGAAAATATTGTACAAGAAACGAAGAAAAATAACTGTTTTTATTTTTGAGTTTCTGCAACCTGAATTTGATTTGCGGAATAAAATTTAATTTTGGACGAAATCGATTAAAATTAAATCGAGTGGTAGTTAGACGCCTTAGATTTATCAACAACACAAAATAACCATGCGGAAAAGAAAAAAGAAATCGGATTTCTTACTGTACAAGAATTTCAGAATTCAATTAAAACGAATGGTAAACGTATGCAACTACAAGAATTTCAGGAAGAGATTAGGGTTACTAAAATTTGGTAAAATATTGCTTTCAAACTGCAAATTTATATCGTTAAGTCCTATTTATAGATGTAGAAGGTTTCCTTCGCGTGGGAAGAAGACTCGAAAATATAAATCTTTCTCTAGATCAGGGGTCGACAATCTTCTAAGCTGTGGTGCGACAAACCAATCTACCAATGTAATGCAGGATGCCGCACAGTAGGAAATATTTGAAACAATTCTATTCCCGCGGTAATGCATGTAAAGTTAGGGAACAGAAGTCAAGAATACAGATTTATATATAGTTTTGTTAAATATTAATTATGAATCATTGAAAGATTTTTTTTATGTAAAAATAAACAAAATGAAAAATAGTTCATAAATTCTAAAATAGTTCATAAATTAAAAATGTACATATATTACATATAATATATCTTTTAAACATATTTATTTAAATAATAAACAACATAAAATGTAAGTATTCCTTTGATATAGTTAAATAAAAAAAATTAAATTTTGATGCGAACCTCGTCCATGCACTGCTCTACTTAATATCACAATATCAGGGGTCAGTGGTGTAAAGAGACATATACACCTCCGAACAATATTTCAGGAGAATTATTTTACAGTACAATTATAGGTGTTCTAAATTTTAAACATAAGATCTATTTTTTTCTCTCTCTCCTTATGCTTAATTTTTTTTCCATCCCGAAGAGAAAAAGGGATTTCAACTCATCCGATTCCTGAGAAAAGAATAGAGAAATCTTTGCTGTTTCTAAAAGTGTGCCTCTAGTTCAGTGTTTGTAGATGAAGAGAGGAGGTTGTATCCCTAAAAATGTATCCTCTAAAAATGCAAAAGCATGCTATCTTAATTACTTTTCTTTAATAATCTTTAGCTTTTTAAATTTTTACACCATGATAAAATTAAATCACTAATTGAACAGTTTTAAATAGGAGAAATAAGATTGATATTGCGTACTATTTAGTTTTTACCAAGTATTAATTCTTAATTAAAAAATTGCTTCTGCCACGGCAATGACCCTATTCCCCCCCCCCCCCCCAAGTTTATTTTCTGAATACGTCACTGTCGGGTACAATTTGTGGCTTTCAATTTGACACATGGTTCTGAATGTTCAGTTGTTAAACAACTTCATGGTGGACTCAAAATATTTTTCATATGAGAAAAGATTTGTTCATATAGATATGTAGAACCAAAAATGGAAAACAGAGCACGTACAATTTTCTTCAAACAATCAATCTCTCCGGCAATGACATCTAGCAAATTAAAATAGTTGGCTGTTTATCGTTAGGGTTTTCATTCGGGATTTTCGTAATTCCGTAAATTTTCCTATCCTTTATTCTGAAAATATTAGTTCAATAAGTTCAATTTCAAAATTATCAGCTTCCATCCACTCAAAAATTGACAAATCGCTTGGGATTATTAATTGTCCTATGAAATCTGATTTGATTAGGAAAGTATATATACTCATTCAAGCTTCGAAGTCTTTGTATCTTCTGGAAAATCCTTCCTTAATTGCTTCAACATAGGTTTAAAGTTCATCTTTATCTATAGAAAACATCGGTTGAATCCTGCGTTACCAAACACTAATAAAGATGTAGCTATTCACAGTTATATTAAATTCTAAAGACATCATTCGATGTATTATAGCAACATAAATATCGAAAGATAATGCTTAATACTTGCTCTTTTACTAAAAGTTTCATGAAGAAGGCAACAAACAGATTGAATGCATGCAAATCAGCATCTCGTGAAACTATTTAGTTACAAAATTGTCGTCAGTATGATGTTAAGAAATCGATATTTCTTTTTCGCTCTCCTGTTTTGGGAAAAAAAAATAACCCTTATGGGTATGCAGAGAGTTTTTCGACTGAGATGGGACCAAGGACTGTTACTTATGTTTTGAAGAGGGAGATTTTAAAGTTTAGTCAAGTAATATTTTTTGGGGCCTATGTTGTTGTTTATTATTTCTACAAAGGGTATATTTTTCTATTTTTTGCAGGGAATCGTCTGTTTCATAAATAATTTAGTGGATAGTTTTTTTAATGAAAATTTTTGTTATTGAGGTATTTTTTCATTAAGTATTTATAGATGCATTTTAACAGTTTCATGAAAGGTATATTATCTATTTCTTATGTTATCGTTTCTCATATACCAATGTCCACTAAAAATTTGCCTGAGCATTACATTTTGCATTTTCCGGTACATCTTCACTCATCGTTAATAAAACGCTGCACCCAGTGGGAAGAAAGGCACGTAAATGGTTATTGAGAAGTTGTTTCTTTGCAAATGGGTAATGTCAGCCGTGTCGGCGCCAATAATGTCAGCAAATACGTGACTTATTGCGCCTCTAAGGACTTTTTAAAAGTTCTCCCAAATACATAATTTTGATTTCAACTAGTGTATTTGGCTTATTGCTTTGAAGTTTAGAATGTCTTTAAGAAGAAAAGGACTCTGTAGACATCTGAACAGTCGGACGCCTTTGAGAAGGGTCGCATCATAGGACAATATGAAGGTGAATGGTCATTCCGTCGGATTGCTTGTCGTATTGAACGAGCAGATGTTACAATTCATGCAATCGGTGGAATTGAGAAAAAGGAAGTTTTCGCTCACGACAAGTAATCTCATTGAGAACTATACAAACTACAAGTTGGGCAGATTAAAGAGTTTTCGAGCAAGCATGAGGCCCACTAACTGCCACAATTCCGGACATTAAACGGACAGTGATATCCTCTCTGAATGATCCTATAAGTTCCAGTACTGTATTGCTTGCACAGAGATCAATATGGAGACTATTACTGACTATACAGTAACGTCGCCAGAGGCTTCAGTAGTACTACGAAAGAACAGCATGGGTCTCTGCGGAAAGGCATCAAGTTATCTTTAGTGATGAGTCTCGCTTTCGTTTTTGTGAGGTTGATAATCGCATTCTTGCGCGAAAGTAATGTTGTCAGAACTACGACGCACTATTTGTTACCACTCGTCATACAACCAGACAATAGGAAGTAATGGTATGGGGTGTGATTCGTACGATGCCTGATTACTTTTGGTCTTATTCAGAGCCACTTTGACGCCCCAATGGTACGTTAGTGAGATCCCTTGACCGGTGGCTATTCCTTTTGTGAATGCCCATCCTAGTCCTCTATTTCAATAAGATAACGCTCGTGTTCAAAACATCTGCCATCTCAAGAACTTGTCTTGCAGCCATAGAAACTATAATGTGGCCAATATCATAACCATACCTGACACCATAAAGAAGATTATGAGATGCTTTAGGCTGTACTGTT